TGTATAAGCTTGCATGTGTGTCTAGGTTGAGCTAATGTACATGATTAGCCGTAGATTCAGGAAGTGCCAAAGAAAACATTTCAACATACAGTAAATAATTCATGGAATTTACTGAAGGCCACTGTCTAAAAAAAGCTTTAAAGGGGAATTAAATACATTGATGGAATATGGTAATGTAGGAATTCTTCACTCCGAAGCAACAAGCATCTCAGTACAACAGGTAGAAAAAAAGTTATTGGCTTCATGGTGGGGCTTCTTGGATCCTTGCAAAGCAGAATGTAGGGCAAAATGTAACATAGTCTAATCAGCATTCTTACTAGAACACTTAAATTCAGGAACATATCTGAAATCATATCCAATCTGGCATGTATTTACACTACTCCCTTCCATCCCCATTGACTCCCAACATGATGCTTCTTCCAAGTGACCATTCATGCTCTGAGCAGAAGTGGCCTGACTGCTAATGCAAACAAATTCCCTGGAAAAAGCCTGTCAAAACCAATGGGGAGTACATAGTTTTAGCCATACATTCGAAGGCTGGCAGTAATAGAAACCGCTTTGTGTTTTCCTTGGTCTGGCTTCTCTTCTGTGTTAAAGGAGAAACAGTCAACATATCTGCTATGCTACTATATAAAAAGGCTGAATGGTTCTTCGTTCAGATAAAGGTAGTTCATTCTGTGGCTCATTAGTAGCAGTATAGCTATCAAGCAATCAGACTGGCATATAACTATTCACAATTAACTAGACCTAACTCAAAAGTGTTAACAAATCAAGAAGACCTGCCTTAGTGAGTAAATATTGCAAATAAAATAATTCTTGAATGACACAACAGGTGGAAGAAGGGTTGTTCTTTCAGCCAAGAGAGAAACTATGGGCAACCTCTGATTGCATTCATAAGCTCTTTATAAGTATTCAGCTCAAATCTCTGTTCTTGAGAGAGAAGAAAAAAGAAACAAAGAAAGGTGCCAGAAGGAGAGAATATGTGGAAAGGAGGCACCCATTTTGGTTCTGCTCTTATCTGGAATTTGCTTCAGCCCTGCTTTAGCACAAGATACACTTCAACAAAAGAAGAAAAAATATAATTGCCAAATTCTGCCTTAAGAATTGGGCTCTAATATTGTTGGTAATTTCTTAGAGTATTGCTGGTGTGTGACCATACTAAACTGATGATGATTTCTTAGACTACTTTTTAAATGCACACTCTGGAACCTATATGCAGGTCTGTGGCTTGGCCATCATTTTGTTAGCAGTTACTTCCAGTACGGCTGCAGCATAAACAAATGGGTTGCTAAGGGAAATGGCAGCATGTCTGGAGAAACCAAGATTATGGAACAAGAGCTTTTTAGAACCAAAGAACCATATCTTCAAGTAACAATTATTATATTTGGATAGTAAAGTGTCCCAACTTTAGTGATGATCCAAAATTCGATGTAACAATTCCAGAAGTTTATTTTAAAGCCCTCATGGAGTCTCTATTCAAATGGGTTTTTAAAGAAGAAATAGTACATCCTTTGTGCTAATTTTATGATCTAACATTTTATCCATTCAACATAGTTTCAGCCTTCCAAAGTGCCACTCTCAACCTGCCAAAATCAACATCTCTACATTATGTACAGTATGATTTGATAAACCTTTGAACTTTTCCAGATGGTTATCTTGGCAGGAATCATTTTGACAAAATGTGCTATCCAGTGCCATGCTGCAATAACTATTAGTTATGTACAACATTAAGTGGTTAATTCCTGAAATACTCTGTTCTTCACCAGAATCTTGCATTTCTCCCTCTCTCAAGGATAAGCTGAACCAAGCCATTCAGAATGGCTCAACCCATTTCAGAAATAAATGCAGATTGGGGGGTGGGGCAGATATCATCCAGTTCATCTAAAGTACCCAGCTGCCTTATTATGGGGAAAACCATAATGCTGACAAAGATTGAAGCAAAAGGAGGGCAAGAAGCAGCAAGGCGGGTGGACTCAAAATGCACTGGCAATAGGTGCCCCATCAGAAAATCTGAAGGAGAGCCAGATCATCCTGGAGAGATCTACCTATGTAGTTGCTAAAAGGTGACAGTACCTTGAAGGCACACCATCAATTAGTGTGTTCACAATTATGGCAGTTCCTTGGATTGTCTAGTGCTTTGCACTAAAAGATAAAAAGATGCAATGCTTTCCACATGACATTGTTCGCAATTCCTTGAAAAAAAAATCTGTTTCCCCCCCCCCACCCCATCGTGCACAGGAGAAAAGTTGTAACCTGGGGTTAATAAGTATCTTTAAATCTGAAGCATTGAAGAGTCTGAATATTTATCACCTCACCTCAGATGCTTCTCTATCAGTTGCAGGGAAAGGGGGCTATGTACTACAAGAAAGCAAAACATCATGACTCAGTAGTGCTTCTCTGCATGTGAATGTTTTCTAAAAGGTGGATTGCTTAAATGGATTCAAAGCACAAATTTGTTGTTGGCAATCCAGTATTGTTTCACAAAAGACAAACTGAAGAAGTGACTTTACTCAGGTTGCCTCAAGAGAAGAGCAAGGGTTGAGGATAAGGAGCATGAAGAAATTTATTTTCAAGTATATGGGGGGAAAGCCCAGAGGCTTAAGAGTTAAGAAAACATTACCCAGAAGAAGAGTCCCCTAAAGAGATGCTTCATCTTAGGAAACAAGCACATATTTCAGCCACATTTGTTCATTTTTTGCTCCTTTCATTGCAATGTGTGTTTCTGGCGACAAGCTGGGGGAGAAGACAAAATTTAAGCTCTTGGAATTTAAAAGTTATTAAAGTTTATCTTCCAAAGGAGCAATAGAGATCTTTTTAGGAGTTTCAAAGTGAGATGGGCTAAAGAAGAGAACACATACCTGCTTCTTTCCAGGGATATATAAGGAACAATGTATACTGGTATTTGGGGTATTTTGAAACAATGTAGGTAAGGATAAGCATTTGTGGGAAGTGTATCTATCTATTGGGGAACTCTCTCCCTTTGTGCTCCTATCTAATTGTGTAGAAGAGGAAACCATTCCAGCTTTGCTGTGCTCTCCCTCCCTTCCTGCCTTTCTTCCCTCCCTTATCCACCATGGAATCTATAAATCACTTCTGGAAGGTAGCTGGGAAGCAGCGGCTAATGATAGTTTTGCTCTGGAAGAAAGGAAGTCACCTTTTAACCCTGCCTGCTGTTGTTTCTTTTACAATAAGACTAGCGAACAGATAAAAAACAACATGCCAACTGTCACAGAAGAGCTGGTCACAACTGCAGCAGGAAACCTTATGCAGACCCACAACATGTTCAGACTGAGGATGTCTGTCCCTCAGTCGAGTGTTTTGATGGGATGCCTTTTACCCTTCACTCATTCAAATGCTCCCTAAGTTCAATCAATGACGAATCAAACAGCCAGCTTTCTGAATGGAAAAATCAAAAATATTGCATGCCTGTTTCAGCCCATGAGAGATATTACCGTCAACACTTTTGACTTATGGAAAAATCAAGGGAGGGGGGAGAGAGAGGGAAATAGAGAAGCATCATGCAGTTTAAGTCATGAGAGCTAAGGCTTAATAGCCCAAATTCCAGAGAAAAACCGGTGCCAAAAGTACAACACGAAGTACGAATTAGCTTTAACAGGAAATGGTGAGAGGCTGATAGCCTGAATAGCTTTGACAGCAGGCCTAGGCCAATATATGAATGGAACCCTTTTGTTCCTTCAGTGACAAATAGGTTATAAACATAATAGAAGGTAAGTGTCTCTAAATTTCTTAAAAGCTACTTTTCAAATAATTTCCGGTAAATAAATCATAGGAAGCATTGAAATAGAACCTATTCAAATAATTACTGAGGGTCTATTTAGCCAGTTTACTTTTCAGTTTGTGAAACCTGAGAAGATGGACAAAATCCTTGGAATGACAAGGTCTACCATGCCTGTCATGACTTATTAAATTTTCTAGGGCAGAGCTGAGTGATTGGGTCAAGGAGATGATAAATGTTTTCCTGAAAGACAGCAAGGTCCTGATTCATCTTGAAGTGTAGACCTTTTAAAGACACCAGTCTTTTGCTACAGCATACTTTAGAAAAACAAAAACAAAAAACAGATGTGGGGAATAAGCTCTGAGCATATGGTTCAGAGTGTCATGGTTTGACTGAAATAGATGGTTTAGATCTGCTCTAGCAGAACTTCTGGAAGCGATCATTTGGAGATTACAGCTGGAATGCCATTAATACGCTCTTCCCTTCCTTCTTTTTCTTACCTGATCTGAGGGAAAAAGTCGATTTTCTAAACTAGTGCCACAAAACTTTCTGAAATAAGTAAAAGAATCTAAGCATTAAACAAGATACTAGATTTTTCTATTTACTTACTAAGGTTGGAGAGACAGTTGACCTTGGAAGTTTCACTAAGCTATATGAGATGAAATTGCATTCCCACTTGAAGCAAAAAAAGAGGGGGAAGGGAGTGAATCAATAGAGCCATTTCCACTTAGGGATGCCTGTGGTAGAGCAGCATTTATCAACCTCCATCCAATTTGTTAACTGTTCCCTTTTCCTAGGGAAATTAACAATGAAAATTCAACTTTAGAATGGCTGCTCAGGATAAATTTATCAACTGGATGGCAGTTTTAAAGCCAAAGACTATATTGACACCTTTCATTTTGTTATCTTTACTTTTTCTTTTACTGATAGGATTATGCCATAACATTTATTTTTGTAATTTGCCTTATATTTTTGTTGCAGAAAAGAAAAGAAGATGTTCAAAGTAAACAAATCAATAATATTTCCACATGTACCGTAAATGCCGGTGTATAAGACGACTTCCGCGAGCGCTGAAATTGGCGCCAAAGACGGGGGTCGTCTTATACGCCGAGTCGTCTTATACGCCGGAAATACTGGTAGTTTCCGGCGTATAAGACGACGTTCTAGGAATGCGGCCCGGCTATAAAGACGGGGGTCGTCTTATACGCCGGGTCGCCTAATACGCCGGCATATACGGTACATTTGCAAGTAACTGGAAGCGCTGAACCAAAATTGGCTGATCTCAAAATATGGTTGGACCTGATAAGTGCTTGGATGGGATACTACCAGGATATCTATGTCTGGGAAATCAAAGCAGTATTCTACAAGAATACTAACCTAATCATCTGAATCATTTGCCAAGAAAGCAACACGGAGGTGGTCTTTGTGTTGTCACCGAAAGCTCAGTTTGGCTTAAGGGAGATTTTATTACCACTTTTACGACCAACTTCTCTTTGAGCGAACAGCAATCAGTACCCTCATAGGCTCTAGTTCCCATGAAAGACAAAAACTATTCAGAGGCCACAAAAATGAATTTGATATGAAAGATACGTACAGTGAAGACATCGTCATCTCCAACTTCAGTTTCATTATGGATCGTGGAAGATGATGTTGTAGAACCTGCAAAGACATTTTAAAATGTGTGTTGTTCCTTTAGATAAAACATTATATTCCAACCATACCCTATTAAGAAAAATGTAGTGGAGGACAAATATTTCTTTTGGGCACAGTCATCTCTCTCATAAACCACCTGTTAAGCCCACATTTCTAAAGTCAAACAAGCCAGAGTGTTGTGCTGGAATGAAGAAGAGCGCCTGGACTCATGATTAAAAACCAGGTCAATATTTTTTAGGACAAAACCATTTTTTCCCGTTTTCACAAAAGCAATTCTATCTGGAATTTTGTTTTTGTGAATTCCTGATCAAGTCTTTTAGAATGGTACAAAAAATTAGGTGAATTAGGACTTGGGATTTCCTCTTGCCACTCTCCAACTATGTAAAGAATTTAAAAACCCAAGATACAAATTAGTTGGCAAAATAATAATAAATAATTACAACTTAACATCAATCTTAAAGTCTATTCAAGATAACAGCAAATATGGAAAACAAAAAGAAAGATCCACAGTATGAGAAATATAGGACACTTGCTCACTTTGGATTAACCTTACAGTTCCTTCTAACATTCCTAGATAGTACAGAGGACTGGCTGAATGATGGGATCACATTCTCTGAAAGCCAATATAGAAGATTAAGACTCTGATTTAAGTAATGTAGCAGGGCTTCAGTTTAAGACATGCAACGTTCTATCTTCAAAGTTGGTACCAAAAACAAAGAAATGGGGGGGGGGGGAGGGAGAATAGAGAAGACAGCCATTTTGCTACACACATTAAAGTGGTAGGATATTGTATAGTACCTTCTGTGAGATCTTCAATGGCTTTTCTCACCCCTCTGTCAAATGCTCGTGCATCAGCAGGGCTTAGAAAAGTGAGTCCAAATTTTCGGTTGTCAACTTTCCAGTGGTGAAATATAGGATTTGCCTTAGTGTAGATCAAGTCTTTTTTCACATAGCATTCCAGCACCACCTGGGGTGAAAATGCAAAGATGTGCAATGATGATATTTACAGGCAAAGGACACAAGTTTGTTAGCGTATTTACTACTTCCTCTTGCACGCATAAAAAAATTAAGACTGCTTATTTTGCGGTTGTTTAGTATGACTCTCCTTTCAACACAAGAAATCAGGAAAATTAAATGAGAGAGGACAACATGCTTGAAACATTTCCTGCTTGGCTGATAGAGGAACACAAACCTTTATATTACACACCATATTTCATATCTCTGTAAAGCCAAGTTTAACTTCTTTAGGAACTTATTCTCAACATGTGTTTGGGTATAAGTATTATATCATTTCAGCATTCATGACTTTACTCCTTTTCATGCAAAATGAAATCCGATCCATACAGTTAGTACCACAGAGTCATTGCTGCTCCATTTTATAATGAAAACTCCTTACTCTCACAATACATTGACAGACTCAGTTTCAACTGGGAAATTACCTTAAACCAAGCCAAATCCAAAAATGCTAGGGAATTCCTGGAAGCCTGGCATTTAGACAAATAAGCCATCAATGGATACATAGAGACAAATCACATTTACATATGGTTCAAAAGAGACAATAAAAAAGCTAAAAAGGAAACAAAAAACTAGAACACTTCCTGGCCAGTAGCTTACACCCAGATAAGCAGGGATTAACACAAGACACACAATCAAGCAGAAAACAATACCCTAATCAAGGAACTACCAAGGAGAAAACTATACTCCCACCAACACTGGCAATGCAAGCTACTATATATAAACAGGAAGCAAATCCCACACTCACTAGGACTGATGATGTTGTGTCTGCAAGCAAACAACTAAGCTCAGAGAATATCAAGGATTCCATAGTTCAACCCTGAGGTACAAAATATTCTTTTCTTTTGGGCAATTAGTACCACACTGATCACTCACATCTCAGAGCCAACCATGTAATCATTATTCTTTTTCTCTTCCTCTGCTACAGTTTTGTCTAATTTAATATCCTCCGGACATATTGGACTACAGCTATCATAAAACATTGGTAGAAGCCCAACAGGCATGCTAATTAGAAGATACTAGAGTTTAATTTATTACAGTGTTTTCAAATTGCTTTGACTCTAAACCAGTATCTTATGACTGAATCAGTGAAGCCCAGCTCATTCAAAAACATCTGTATGACCAAACCATAATAACTGATTCATCATCTCCTTTGTATTTATTTTAACAGTACCTTCATTTATCAGTGGTTTAACCACTCACAGTAGAACAACTGCATTTTTAACAGCTTCCAAAACATTAAGATTTGTGGGGTTGTAGAAACTACCCACTAACAATTTTGCTATTTTCCCTATTGAACCGGAAATAGCTAAAATCTATATATTGCGTTACTGGTTAAGACTTGGATAGTGAGACCTGCATTATAACTAATACTGAACATAACAACCCTGTAAGCTAGGTTAAGTTATTCATTTATGATTGAGTTGTAAATTAAGTTATTCATTATAAAGGTTTAAAGGTTTTCTATGTCCATGCATTGCCTGAGAGACGTTTCCATCATCATGTGGCCAGCATGAAAATACAGAACACAGTGACCTTTCTCACCAAAGTGGTACCTATTTATCAACTTGGATTTACATGCTTCTGAACTGTTAGGCTGGCAGAAGCTGGAATAAGTAACAATAGGTCACCCCATCATGCAATGCTTGGGTCTTGAACCTGGGCTGTCAACTTTCCTTGTGACAAGCTCAGAGTCTTAAACGTTGAGCCATTGCACCACCCTTATTCATTATGATTGCCACCAAATCATCATGAGGTCATGATGGGCAAATGCAATTCAGAACTCTGGAAAAAGGGTAAGCAACTTGGTTGATATGCACCCTTCTTTCTGTTGACAGGATGTGTGTGTATGTGTGTATATATATATATATATATATATATATCTATAATATATAATATATATATATATATATATATATATATATAGACACCACACACACACACACACACACACACTTACAGAAGCTGCAAAAAGCCATGGCCATACTTTCAGTGACAAACCTGAGGAATTTGGGGTGTAGAGTAAAGGCAAAAGCATACTAAGGTCACCTAGAACCTCAAGCAGATCCCACATCTGATGGGGCCATTTCATTTTTGAAGGGCCATACAGAAAGATAGTTTGATTTGAGGAAACAAACTTCTTTAAAGAAGGGGAAGAGGTAGAAAGATTTAATGAGGAGCATTAAAGCAACCAAAGCAACTCAATTAGGAGTGAAAATGTTCAGTAGCCACAGAGTATTTACAGTGGGGAAAATGAAGGAATGGAATGATTTTCTTTATAAATGAGACTGTCTGCTAAGCAGCATTAACTTACCTTATTAAAAGTATCTAAAATATATAAACTATTTCTAGTTCATACTCTGCTTTTGCCAACAGTAATTCAACCCACAATAACTTGTTTTATTCTTTATCAATTCTTCTTGCCTTAGAAATACTGTCTCCCCTTTCTTTTATTTTCTGGCTAGGATCACATTTCACTTCCAATGGAGAGGAATATTGCTGAGAAAGGCACAGTTGACTAGGACTCTGAAGACTTCATGCTGCAACATTTTATTGCAGGCCTCATTTGTTATGTCCAAGATCTAAAGGTGCAACAAAACGTGTATCTGTTATCTCTTTAGTTTGTTACCCCATCTTTGGATTAGACTAGAATTTGTGGACAGGGTCACCTTCTGATTAAAAGTGGGCAAGAACACCCAAAAGCAGGAAGCTGTGGTCACAGCAAAGTCACAGCAAAAAGCTACGTTTAAATCATCCTGGCATTTTTGCTCTACTGGACTCTTATCTCAAATGAAATGGTATGAATAATTCAGTCCCATTTCAAAAGCTGGAATTACCTCATACAATTAGGTATGGCTTGGTTAGGTTTTTTTTAAATATTTCTAATCTGTTTAGCAAATTTTGGAAAAAAAAAGTGTTGTTTTCCATTCTCATTCTCTTTAAACCTTTAAGGAGTTTAAACATTACTAGGCACCTTGCTCTTTGTGAAACCATACACTAACAATGCACTAAGAGAAGTTTTGTAGATGTATCACACATGAGCTTAGGAAATGTTAAGAAAGATGGGAGGGGGGCATTTTGGAAGAAAAGGGACCAAAGTCCATACCAGATCAATTTAATTTACCAGTTTGTCTTTTTGCCTTTCTCCATGGATGAGAAATCCATTTCTTCCATTAGCCTCTGTGCACTGGATCTTGCAGACACCAACCCTACTAAGGCCACCTCCTTCTTGGGGCAGCCATCCTCCACTGGAGTCATCTCGGGTCATAACCACAGCTTTGACACGCACAATATAGCTGTCACTGCAACAGACAAAAACAGGAGACGATTAAATCACAGAGTCCATTTCACAGTTTTCAGCATCTGATTATCTAAAGCTACAGAAAAACCATGGGGATGTAGACCTCAACTAAAAATGTGATCTGCCATCATAGCTAAAAAGTGATACAACAAAAAGATTCCAGGCATCATTCATGCTCAATCCAACTGAAGACCTCAAACTGCCTCAAGGAAAATCTTCATATTGAGAAGGTAGATCTTCCTTTGCACGTGAGCAACCTACATTCGACACCCAAAAAACTCAAGTAATTCCACACGCTAAGCGATGCGGATGATTTTTTAATGGGGATGGGGGAGGATGAATAGTTAACAATCTATGGAGTGAGATCAATGTTTATGGTTCATTTTGAAACAAAAAGATTCAATCTGGCCTTATGGGCTCTTGCCTATAAAAGCTGACCTCAGAACCAATGCATTATTAGACAATGCTACAGTGTGACTGCATGGAGCTATTGGTACTTGAAACAGGAAGGTCAGAACTGTAAATATATAATTTTTGGAGATGAGGGAGAGGAATGGTAGGATTGAAGGGCAAGTTGAAGAGTAAGGTGTCCAAGTACAATAGAACAGCATTACTGTAGAAACCCTAGGACTGAGAAAAGAGAAGGATCCTTTAATTTTGCTTTTATTTCCTCCTGTTTTGTCATTTTTCCGAATCCTACACAACTTATCACAAGCTTACCCAGAGGAATCTTTATTTCTATTTGTTACACATTCCAGCAGGAATGAAGTGCTGGCTATTTTCAATTCTCTTTTCTTAAAAGATCAAATCATGTAGCTTGTCTAAAGAAGCGCCATCTCTCTTCTCTTTCTCTCTTTTCAATTATTTTATGTAATATAATATAAAGTATTTTCCTTACAGAAAGAAAATATTCAACAAGATACTCACATAAGCTCACGATCGAATCCTTAATGAAGGACTGCATTAGAATAAATGCAACTGAAATTCACAGATGCAGCTTTCAATCTGGACTTTAGATTAGTAATAGAAACACTTTGTACTTTGTGGAGGTTTGTATGATACAATGTGATTTCGACTACAGCTAATTCTCGACTTACAATAGTTTATTGACCATTCAATTACAATGACACTGAAAAAAGTGACTCATGACCAGTTTTCACACTTATGATCATGTGACATCTCCATAATCACATGGTCAAAATCAGACACTTGGCTATTGATTTATATTTATGACTGGTTGCAGTGTCCTAGGATCATGTGATCCCCTTTTGCAAACTTCTGACAAGCAAAGTTGGTAGGGAAGCCAAATTCACTTAACAAGTTTGGCAAGAAAAGTCATAAAATGGAGCAAACTCACTTAATAAATGTTTCACTTAGCCACAGAAATTTTGGGTTCAATTGTGGTCATAAATTGAGGACTACCTTAAAGCTCTCTCTTCAAGGAAATTTTAAAATTCAATATATCATGAAAAATTAAGCAATCTCTCTTTTTGGATGTGCTTTCTCTCTCTCTCTCTCTCTCTCTCTCTCTCTCTCTCTCTCTCTCTCTCTCTCTCTCACACACACACACACACACACACACACACACACACACACACACAGGGGAGGAGGGGGGAAGGAGAGAGAGAGAAACATGCCTGGTAAAGTATGACTCATTTATTGTTTTTCTACCACAAGCTTGGTGAACAAAAGCAAATGGAAATAAACCAATAGTTCTTATTACTCTGTCCGTCCATCTACCCATTCAGGGTATGTCTGCCAGTAATAAGGATGCCAGCCCAGTACTCTATTGAAAAAGTAGACCCTACCAACCTTTTAAGATATTTACTTCCCACATAGATATTTATATGTCCAAGACTATAAATAACTTCTATAAACAACTTCCCTAGCCCGGAAGTTCTAAACTCATGCTATTTTGAGGGCAGTGTTTCATCTGTACATCTTGTATTAATTGACTAATAAAATTCAACTGATGCCTGTGATGGTGGAAGCTTTAGGAAAATGCATATCTCCAAACTACTAAGCTAATTGGTAACTACCTAGTCCTGTCTACCACTCTTTTCATAGTCTGTTTTCTGTCCAGAACAAGAGTCATCATTTTATTTAAGGGCAAAGAGGTATCCCTAGATTAACCAGAATGAAAAGACGGAATAAAATCTCCCACACATATATTTTTAAAATGGAAGTATTTTCTTTATTACGTGGGGTGTAGCTGGATACTATATTATATGCTATATATCCATGCTACTGATAGCATGGACTTCCACGCCAACATCCTTCAAGTCTTCAGTACAATATTTATGAAAAGAATCTGGTTCAAAGACAACTTTAATAAATACTAGATAACTGCTTATCAAGTAAACAGAAAATACAGTAAATGGCTCTAACATTTGATTTTCAACATCAAACATAATATTTGCATCAGAGGTTAACTGACTAAATAGGACTGATATCAGTGCCATTTGTATCTCTATTCATGTATACCTGTAATTAATGAAAAAAAAGATTCATAATGAATTTGGATGATGGAAGAATGTTTACAAAGAATAGGACAAAGTGGAAAAAATAAGACAGAAGTGCTAGTCATAAAATTGTGGGTAGTATGTAAGGAAAGAATGTTTGCCAAATGGAACAACATAGATGCATAGAAAGAGTACTTCTGCTTGTTTGGTTACATGGAAATATATGGATACTGGGTATGTCAGGAAAAACAAAAACAATGTGAATGCTGTGGGAATGTACTTATGCAGTACATATACTTATATGTGCGATAAGAAAAGTATAATAGGATCAAGAATAAATAGGTGTCACGTGAATGTGGATTGAATACAAAATCAGTGACCAGTATGAAAGAAATATGGAGTATGGAGTAGTCATATAGAGAGAATGTATGAGGATTAAGGTGGCAAAAGAAATATATGAAAGAGGAATGAACAGATCAAGAAAAGGGGAAATTCATGGCAATTTATGAGATCCTAAAAGAGAGGTAAGAATTTAAAGATCAAAAGGCAGATGGACAGTAAAATATGGCAAGTAAATACTAATTGATTAGATTTCTTTTAATTTTTTTCTTATCTCCTATTTTTATTTTGCCTTGCTGGCTACTTTCTACTTTTCTCCTGAGGCTATACAAACATGTTGCTAACTCCCAAAAACAAAAAAACAAAACAAAACAAAAAACCCACCATCGTGAGTCCCTATGTTTGTATCTTCATTAAGAATGATGTATTACTCTATATAGGCTACATACCCTATAACAAATATATGGAAAGAAATCCATTTGTCTTCAGCTTGGATATTAGTTTTCTAAGAGATAAATTTCTTTCTGTACCAGGTATTGCACACAAAACAATATATCCATTTTATAATAAAAGTATTGATTTATACTACATTCAATGTTACTAGAAGACATTTAGCATTTTCAACTTGGTGCTCCGTCTAGTCCTGTTTTGATACCTCCCTCCAGCATGGCCATAGTAAGTTGAAATCTAACCCAACTTGAAGAAAATGGAGGTATTTTCAAGATTTGAATTGTATTTTCCCTTAATGATGATTATTGGTAGCATTTTTAGTATTCCAAAATAAGGTTTAGTTTCCAACTGATATCTTTTCATGAAACAATTAAAGAAGCATTTCTGTATTATTCACATTGATTCAAAATAAAACTACATTTCTCTTAATGCAAGATATTTTGGGCATATTAACTTTAAGTCTCTTTTTATATGCTTCTTGGTAAATTCAGCCTTTGCCAAGAAGCACAAATGCTACTATATAAAACATCCTTTTCTAAATATCTGAAGGTAAAATACTCTAGGCACAGTTATTGACTGTGAACCTATTTTGCTTACAAAGATTGAAAATGACAATATAGATTGAATATAATTATGCTTCCTTGCTGATGTGAAGGAACTAAGTCTTCATGAGTTTAACATTATTAATGGTACGTATATAGCACTGCTTAGATGCTTAAAGCATTTCTCATACATTATCCTTATGATAGCCATGTACAATAATCAGCAGTGTTCACAGCATATTGCAGCTGCGGGGCTTTGAGAATGTGCTAGCCCACAGGTTGGCAACCTGCAGCTCCGGAGCCGCATGCGGCTCTTTGAGCCTTCCCCTGCGGCTCCCAGCCTCCTCTGCCTTTGCAGAGAGAGACAGAGACAGAGAGAGGAATTGCGCTTCCCTGCTTCTCTCTCTCTCTCTCTCTCTGTGTGTGTTTGTGTGTGTGTGTGTGTGTGCTGCGTCTCTGCAGGAAGCAGGAAGGGCAGGAGAGAGCTAGCTAGCCCAGCTAGGCTGACTCAGGAATTCTGGGAGTTGAAGTCCATGAATCATAAAAGAGACCAGGTTGCCTACCCCTGATCTTGTTGGACAACAGCCTGAAGCTTGTCAGGTGAGCAGCAGATAGGAGAGGGGGGGGAGAAAGAGAGAGAGAGAGAGGGAGAGAGGGAGAGAGAGAGAGAGAGAGAGAGAGAGAGAGAGAGAGGGAGAGAGAGAGAGCGGGGGAAGAGGAGTGGCAGACCAAGGGCAGATAGAGAGGTAGAGAGAGAGAGAGAGAGAGAGAGACCCTTTTGACATCTAAAATGAAGATAACACTGTATATATCCTTTTTTTACCTGTGTGTGTGTGTGTGTGTGTGTGTATATATACATACATACATATATATACACACACACACATACATACACACAAACACCTATAATAAAGGTAAAAAAGGATATATGCAGTGTTATCTTCATTTTAGATATCAAAATGGTTTTGCGGCTCCCAGTGTTTTGTTTTTGGTGGGAAACGGGTCCAAGTAGCTCTTTAAGTGTTTTGGGTTGCCTACCCCTGTGCTAGCCTAAAGTTTTAGACATAGGTACATTGTTCAGTTTATGATAGGTCAGAGTCCTCTTGCAGAGATTCCCACGCACTTTTACTTTATTCTTTTCTCTTTCTTTCTTTTTCAGTGCACTTTTTCCTCTTCTTGTTTCTTTTCTTTCTCTAAGTTTAGCTTGT